CTAACACCCGCGTGGGTGTTCGCGTGCGCGATTAAAAGTCCTACCGGGGACTTCGTTTTGTTTGCTCGAATATTCGATTAGTTTATTTAGAGTAAAATCACCGTTTTCGAACACTTGCGTGGGTGTCCGGGCGCGATTAAAAGTCCTATCATGGACTTCGTTTTAGTGTTGAAATTCGGAGTGTGCTTCGGATTTCAACTTAGAGTCACCGTTATTCTAACACTCACGTAAGAGTTCGCTTGCGCGATTGAAAGTCCTACCGGGGACTTCGTTTTATTTCTTCGACATATTGATTAGATTACTTCGCGAATTTGGATAGAACAGTAGAATCTACGTAACTATAACAAACGTGAGTGTCGCGAACGCGATTAATGCGCTTTGATTGTTCGAAATTCGGATGCACGAATTCAGATGTGCTTAATAATCCGTTATGCCTGAGGCGGATGGTGTCGAACGGTTAAGCTTTCTGTAAGTGGAGTCCCTGTAGCTAAGGCTAGATACTTCCCGTTAGCTTTGTCCCATGCCCAAGACATCCGAAGCGGAAGGCATGAGGGATCGGTATCGCGGTACGCGGATTTTAGAGTAAAGTAGAGTCACCGTTAGCTCGTGGGTCTCCACATGCAGCAACTTCCACGTAGTGAGACCTGGGTCGTTAATACTTGCAAAGTTTAATTGTAAACTTTTAAATGCAAATATTACCGAGCGAATGGCTGCATATTGTATTACTTTTCCAATATCTTTTCAAACTAATTCCAACTAAACATTAATATATTTCCATCTTATATAGCTAATAATTCTTCGAAAGAAGAAATATAACAGAATTTATTGTACAATAATTTCTTACAGAACGACTAGGAAATTTATCTATCACAATTTTATATCCGTTGTCATTTCTATTTATTCTTATTTACTCTCATTAAATATCTTTTATATATCTCGGGTGGGACCCATAGGAGGGGCCTGTGGGCGAGGGCTTCTGTGCGGGCTGCTGTCTCAGCATCATATAGAACTGTTTCTCTTGTCTTATCTTTTTGGGGCTCTCTATTCCTCTCTTTCTGGGGCTCTCTTTTCTTTCTTCGTTTCGCTCTCGTTTCTATCTCAAATTTTTCTTTTTGAATTATGTTTTCAATTATGTTATTATTATGTTATTTCCTTTTTAATATGTATTCTTAATATTTATTTATGTTGTTTCTTTCTAATTCTGTATTTAATTATGTGTTTAATTATGTGTTTATGTTTTTAATTATGTTTATTTTCTGTTTATATTATATATATATATGGTTTTCTGTTTTATATATTCTTTTGTTCTTTTATTTCCTCTTTATCTTTTTCTTTTACAGGATAGGTCATCGAGGGATAGGTTCATCTGTGGACGGATGCATCGTCGCCTGACTGGATTCATTCTCGATTTTTACGCGTGAATACGGGAAGGATAGGAAGAACACTGGCGCGCGTGTCGGCGGGCACAGGCGTTGGTGTTCTCGGGCGCGATTAAACTTCGTTTGATTGTTCGAATCGAAAACGCGAATTGTAGAGTAGAGTCATCGTTTTTCTAACACTTGCGTGGGTGTTCGGGCGCGATTAAAGGTCCTACCGTGGACTTCGTTTGATTTTTTCCAAATTTCGATGGGGGTACTTCGCGAATTTCGGCTTAACAGTAGAATCTACGTAATTATAACACACACGTGAGTGTCGCGACGCGATTAGTATTTCTAAGGAGTGCGCTTTGTTTGTTCGAAATTCGGAAAGCACGAATTCAGATGTGCTTGATAATCCGTTATGTCTGAAGCAGACGGTGCAATTGGTGGAGCTATCTGTAAGAGGTGTGTTGTAGCTAAGCTACGCATACCCTGTTAGCTAAGAAGCCAGGCATTGAAGCGGAAAGGTATCGCGGATCGGTATCGTGAAACGCGGATTTTAGAGTAGAGTCACCGTTAGCCCGTGGGTCTCCACATGCAGCAACTTCCACGTAGTGAGACCTGGGTCGGTATTACTTGCATACTCTAATTATAGAATCTTTAATGCAAGTATTACCGAGCGAATGGCTGCATATTGCATTACTTTTCCAATATCTTTTCGAACTAATTCCAACTAATCATTAACATATTTTCATTCTATATAGCTAATAATACTTCAAAAGAAGAAAATTAGCAGAAATCTATTGTACAATAATTTCTCGGAGAAACGAAAAGGAAATTATTCTATCTCTCTTTTATGTTCGCTGTCATTTCTATTTATTCTCATTTACTCTCATTAATTGTTCTTTAATCTCGGGTGGGACCCACAGGAGGGGCCTGTGGGCGAGGGCTTCTGTGCGGGCTGCTGTCTCAGCATCATATAGAACTGTTTCTCTTGTCTTATCATTTTGGGGCTCTCTATTCCTTTCTTTCTGGGGCTCTCTTTTCTTTCTCCGGCTCTCGTTTCTATCTCATATTTTTCATTTTTAATTATGTGTTTATGTTTTTAATTATGTTTTTAATTATGTTCATTTTCTGTTTATATTATATATATATATATATATATATATATATATATTATGTTTTATTTTATGTATTTTTTATTCTTTCTCTTATTTTCTGCTTACGTTCTTCTTTTACAGGATAGGTCATCGAGGGATAGGTTCATCTGTGGACGGATGCATCGTCGCCTGGCTGGATTCATTCTCGATTTTTACGCGTGAATACGGGAAGGATAGGAAGAACACTGGCGCGCGTGTCGGCGGGCACAGGCGTTGGTGTTCTCGGGCGCGATTAAACTTCGTTTGATTGTTCGAATCGAAAACGCGAATTGTAGAGTAGAGTCATCGTTTTTCTAACACTCGCGTGGGTGTTCGGGCGCGATTAAAGGTCCTACCGTGGACTTCGTTTGATTTCTTCAAAATTTCGATGGGGGTACTTCGCGAATTTCGGCTTAACAGTAGAATCTACGTAATTATAACACACACGTGAGTGTCGCGACGCGATTAGTATTTCTAAGGAGTGCGCTTTGATTGTTCGAAATTCGGAAAGCACGAATTCAGATGTGCTTGATAATCCGTTATGTCTGAAGCAGACGGTGCAATTGGTGGAGCTATCTGTAAGAGGTGTGTTGTAGCTAAGCTACGCATACCCTGTTAGTTAAGAAGCCAGGCATTGAAGCGGAAAGGTATCGCGGATCGGTATCGTGGAACGCGGATTTTAGAGTAGAGTCACCGTTAGCCCGTGGGTCTCCACATGCAGCAACTTCCACGTAGTGAGACCTGGGTCGGTAGTACTTGCGATGTATTGAAATCTGATGGTAAATCGCGCAATGTAAGTACTATCGGGCGAATGGCTGCATATTTCAATGTATTTCAAAATCCCTTCAATTGAATTCTGATTAAATACTAAAGTACTAACACTTTACATCATCAATAATACTTCAACGAGTAAATAGAAAAGATATAGTTCAATTCAAAAGTAATTTCTTTAAATTCCCAAATTTATATACTAATTATCGGATATATCAATTATTCTTTATGCTTTTGTAATAAAATGCATACCATTATGATATCGCTGCAAGAAACACGCTATCATCAAAGAAAGATTATACATATGAAAGACTGAAAAATGTGATTTCAGTCTACTAAACTACTTATTCTATCTTATACGAAAACAATAGAAATTCACGCTCGAGAGGTATATACTAACATAAACTTATACACCGATACGATAAAAGCATGACGAGGAACAATATTCCTTGTTTGCGTTTGTAATTTATATTTTGTCTATACCTGCCGCTGAAATTACACACGATTCGAGCGAAAGATGGTGAACTTACAACCTTGATAATAGGAACAGTATGAAGTTCATCGAATTAAAAAAAGAGAGCGAATAATATAAGTGCTGGCATCTAGCGACCATCGCTGTAATTAAACTGACATAGGAGAACTCGACCGCATGAGAAAAAACTATGTTATATATGGCCGCCAATGTATCATACCTGACAGTTTCCACGATTTTTGTTTATTAATTCTGTTTATTGATATATGTCATGTTTCAAAAATTATAATATATTATAATCCTACTGTAAATAAAGTTTTGATATATAAATCTCAGATTATTCATTTAAAGTTAAATTGTTTAAAAATTGAAGTGCGTTTAACAGTTGTAAAGTGTATTTATACAACAACGTAATGTCACGTACAGGAACAAAACTTGAAGCTAAGAAAGTTGTAAGTATATGTTATTGAACGTTAACCTTTTATTTATTAAATAATATATATTTAGAATTCTTCAAATTGATACTATCTTTCAAGATTACGTTAGATAAATTTATAGAGACGTAAGAAGTTAATGAGAATTCTTTCCTTTTCATATGATATTTTTATCTTCCTTTATAACTTTAACATTATGAGAAACTTTCTTATTTTTATATTTCACAGAACTCTGAATTATTCACATTAACTTATGGAGCTCTCGTTGCCCAATTACTAAAAGATTATGAGAATGTAGAAGAAGTTAATAAACAATTAGATAGAATGGGATATAATATGGGAATTCGCTTGATAGAAGATTTTCTAGCACGTACTGGATCTGGGCGATGCTACGATTTCAGAGATACAGCTGAAAAAATTCAGACCGGATTTAAAATGTATCTTGGAATAACCCCAACGATTACAAATTGGAGTGCTGCTGGAGATGAATTTTCTTTATATTTTGAAACAAATCCATTAACTGAGTTCGTAGAATTACCAGATCATTGTTTAAATCTAAAATATTGTAATATATTGACAGGTATATTAAGAGGTGCGTGTGAAATGGTACAAATGGAGGTTGCATGTTGGTTTGTTCAAGATCAATTGAAAAATGATAATATAACCGAATTACGTGTTAAATTCATTAAAAGGTTAGAGGATGCAATACCTGCTGGTGAAGACTAAATCCGTATTAGCATTATTATAATATTATTATGAATAAACTTTATATCAAAATATTCTGTTATTGAATATCATTATGATTATATATTGATACATTAATCCAAATATACATATTTATATGTATGTATATAAACAAATTTAAATCCATTAATATATGAATTATAAGTAAAATTAAAATATTAATATTTATAGTGCAAAGACCTTAATGCTCATTTGTGTTTATAATAAACTTTATGTCAGTCTTGTCAGCTATCTAATAAAAAATATAATTTAAACAAATCATATATATATATATATATGTGTATATATACATATGTATATATATATATATATAGGAAGTCATGTTTATCAGATTGACCACATAACCTTAAAAATGAAAATTTCATACGAGCTACAATAGATCAATTTATAGATTTTTCAATCCATTATATTAGTGATAGATTTATAAATGTACGAAATATCTTTTGAATTAACAATTCTTTAAAATGATCGAAGTGAAGTGTAGACATTGCCGTAAAAATCTTTTTCAAAATGAAAGTTTTACATTGCTTACATCTCATAATGAAGATAAAAGTAATATTCAACATGCAGGATGTGATGACAATTTTATTGAACATTTTTTATATATGTCCACGGAAAATTTGCCAATATGGATACAAGAAATAATTGATCAAGTAAAATCAATTTTTCTTATATATTTTTATATAAATTATTATAAAAAACAATGATTAACAGTAGTGTATGTATATATATATGTCATTTATAAGATTAATAAAGTGTATATATCTTTGTAGACATCCTGGACGAAAGGAAGATTAAATTGTCCATTTTGCAATAATCGATTAGGATCGTTTAATTTGATAATTGATACAAAATGTAATTGTGGTACATGCATAGTACCTCCTATTAGATTAATTCAAAGCAAATTAGATATATTAAATTTGGAAATATCTAAGTAAGTAAAGAGTTTTTAAAATGAAAGAATGATTACAAAGAAAGGTGACGTTTAAATTAATAGTTGCAACATATGAGAATGAAATATCTTTATTGTATTATTGAAACAATAATGTTTTTTTCTGTAATCTTTGGAAAAATATATGTTTACATCATAGCGAGCAGAATGCATGTAAAAATAGAAAATAAGTTTATTATCATCATTGTATTTTTTAAATTATTAAATTATTATCTAGAATTCCTTATAATATTTATAAATCGGCATCTTATTATCATCATGCATTTTAAATAATTATATTTTCAACATATCATTTTATCTTTCTTATTTTTATATATTCTGAATAATTTAAGTATTTGCATTAATTACAGATGTTATTACATAATAGGACATTTTCTTAATTATTCTAATCTTTGTTATTGTAGTTATTATTTAATCGTTACATCAAGTGAAGTGATGCATTGCAATTCCCAAACTAACTAAGATAGGAAGATTGTAATAATATCAGTATTCTATTATCATAGTGTTCCAAAGTTGTATATAACAGAGAAATTATATACTTGCATTTGCAAGTGTATATGTTTTATAGATACATGTATATATATATATATATATATACACACAACACTTATCAGCTACACCGTACATAATGAATAAATATATATAACATCTTTGTAGTCCTTAAAATTATAAATTGCTGTTAATGTTATAACTAAAATATTTCTATATGAAAGTGTTACAAATATTACTTTTATATTTTTATCATATAAATCAACAAAAATGTAAATATGATTCTAACTAATTTTATGAAAGAGATTACATATTCAAAGGACATTAAAGAATTGTAGGTCTTTTCTTTTTCTTTTCTTTTCCAAGAATTATTTTTTAAAATCTGTTCCAAATAAAAAAATGTAATTTTTCATCAGAATATATCAATTTAACAAAAAATCATAACAAAAGATATAAGTATATTCTGTTGTCTCTTAAAGCATGTTAATAACAATCATAATGAAATTTAATAATTTTGTATTATTATTCTGCTTTTTGATTAACTGAATTATAATTTTTGGATAAATAACAATTTTGCGATTTATAATTTGTCACATAACAATTTCACTACAGTAAAGTACTGACATTTTATAATGGTCATAAGTGAACAATTGAAAACTGCCTAATATAGATGAAAATATTCTTGAAAAATGTAGAAGTTAATAAACAATTAGGCAAAAATAACAATTTTTATAGTTTTATATAGAATATAAAAAAAAATATTTGTTATTGAAAATAAATGAAAATAAAAATAATTTTTTGTACATAAATTATAAATCAATAAATGCGATAATTGTGACATAATAAGTAACTTACAAAAATTATTACAATTTGTGCTTCTTAGAGTAACAAAAGATCTAAATCAATAATTTTTCACATAAATTTTCTATAGATTTATAAAATTTAACATAACTTTACATAGAATAATAGAATTGTAACAAATTTAATAGAAGTACATTAAATACTACCAATATATTTGTGTTTGATTCTTGGCAGTATTCTTTTTAGGTATATTTTAACATTATCAAGTAAAATTCAAGTTTATATATAATGCAACATCAAATTACTTAATTTTCAATATTTAAACAATATCATATATAAATAACTGTATAGAGATCAATGCTAATAATGTAGGAAAATTCTAATAATATAAGGAGGAAGACTAATATTATAGCACAAAAAATGATTTCACAGTAGATATCATTTTACTATATCTTGAAAAATCATTGTAACTACCAATAGCTCCTATTGAAACTATATAGTATATTGTCTTTATTTCGCTGTAAATGTGTTATAGTGTGCCTTTTAATGAAAAATCCAATATTTTATGCAATGTCAATTGCTGCTCGTCTGTTGGTACACATTACAATGTATGTAACAAGATGTAGTATTTATTTACATACTTTAAGAGAATAACAGAATTATTGTATAATGTGTACAAATATATATCAAAGGCACATATGGTCCATACTAAGAATTCAAAGTATTTGGTCGAACAAAACTGATTGACTTATAGTCTTCAAAATTACTTGTAACCAAATATAAAAAAAATAATCTAATGATGTCCTTCATATGTAATTAATATCAATAATTTCTATCAGATGAGATGGATTAAGTGTCAAAAAAACACGAAAGACACAATGAAGATATTAATTTTAGAATAACTTATGTCAAATAAAGAAATGTTTTGTACACATTGATACCTAGAGTGCTCTTTTCAGCAAGGTCTTTAATAACATCTGCTGAATTGTAAAATATTATACATGAATAAGATTTAGATGCTACAATTGGAACATTTCATCCTGTTGCTGTTGAAGTCTTTGTAATGACGTTTTTACTTTTCTTCCCTGGGTCATAACTACAGCAGTTGGAAAATTTTGCATATCACTAGAGGATGAGAGCCTTAATTCTGATGAATGGGCTGATATATGTGTATTTGAAGGAAGTGAATCTTTAAACTTATTAGATGTTCTTCGTTGTTGCACATAAGTATCATTACCTTCATTACAGAATCTAAAACATAACAACCATTTAAATACACATTTAAGATACAGATATATAAAGTATTTCAATGATAAAAAGCAACTCTTATATTACTATCATATCAACTTACTCACTACTTCCTTGAGCACGTTTAATATCTTTTTTAACATTAGCTATACAAGTATCCATTTTTGCTAAAAAGTCATCAGCTGAACTTTCATCATCTAATGGCGATATTACGGATGGACTAGATACCTATAAATTAATATGGTTTTAGTTAAATTATATATACAAGCTAGAAATAATATAACAAAGAGTTTTTAAATATTATATATAAATATACATAGGTACATTTATATTAAATCATAATTATAAAATTTACTTACATTTTGAGTAGAATTACACTCTGAATCATTGTACACAGCACATTCAACAGACGAAGCTAATGGGCTGTCTGTGCTAACAGGTATAAGGAGATATTCTCGTAAAAATAAACTATCTGATGCCCACAGTCGATTAACTCTTCTTATTTGTTCTGTCTATAAATATTAAAGAATTGAATGAACTCATATTCACAACAATATTAATCAACATAAAACTTGGAAATACATACTGTAACGCCATACTTCAACGCAATTCCTTGAAGTGTATCCGTAGACACAACAATATGTTTTATTAAGCTCTCTGCTCTCATCATATGTTTAGCTGTACTTCCATACTTTCTTAATGTTTTCCCTGTATCAGCAATGCACCTCCGTTCCTCCATTTCTTTAGAGCCATTCCATTCCATTGTAAACTCTTTGAGTGAATGTATTAAACAATGAAGCAGACATAGTACTTCTTAGTATAATTGTAGGCGAAAAAATTTAGATCAGGTATCATAATGGCATAACCTATCTGGGTCATTGGTAAGTATATAGTGCATCTGTTTTAAACATTACATGAAATAAATAATCACTTACAATAATTGAACATAAGATGATATTTAATTTCTGAATACTACTTAAGATAATCATAAATTATCTTAAATTTTTATACGTACTTGTATAACAAGCAAAAGGATGTAAAAGGAAATTTTATTATTGCATTCTTGATCGCACGTGATTTGTCATGAGAATATGTACTTAGTATACTTTACTCGAACAAATATTACGACACATTCACTTTACACTGCACGTCTATTTAGTTTCACTTTCTTTCTTTGCTAAATTTTAGTCAATGGAATCAAGTAACATGCGCAAGGGTCACTAATCGTGACCTTTTTATTTTTGATTAGCTTCTACGAATTAAATTACTTATACGTAGATCCAATACACTAACAAATAGTTATCTATTATTTTCAGATGATTTACAGTTTTGAAGTTTTACGAAAGTTACAACGATTTCTACTTTATCTGTAGAGTTATACGTGTTTGTCTCTAAGAAGTAACTTATTTAGCCAATCGCAGGCGAAGATCATTTTCAATTATAATAAAAGGTATATATATATTCTTTTCAATATTTATATATCTCTTGAAATTTATTCTTCTTTCTTTAAGTGTTCAGATGTTTTTCGAATGTTCTTTTTTTTTATGTATCTTTAGAATATTAAAGGCTACTTTGATTAAGTTTGATTAACATTTTTAATCAACAATTAACTTAACCAGCAGTGTGGCTAACAGTAAAACTTTTAGCTATATGTCGTTTTTAACCTATATTTTCGTGATATCGATAATCATTTAAAAGTTTTCTACATAATATAGACATGCATACATGTATTCTCTTAGCTTATTTTGATTAATATTCTATTCGTTCCATACTGTGAATACAATTTTTAAATAGTTATTGATATCATGAAAATATAGGTTAAGAAAGATATATAGTTAAAAATTTTACTGTTTGCTACACTGCTGATCGAGTTATCATACACAGACAATATGTATCGATTAAATCGCAAATCAAGTTCGAAATTGAACGAATGTGTGAATGAAGCTTAATATTTCAACTTGAAATGTACTTTGATTTCTACAAGATTGTAAGATAAATAGTATTCATTAATTGTAACATAAGAAAAATATAATGATATGGAAAAAAAGGGAGCAAGATATTATAGAATAAGTCATGATAAGAATATATTTGCTGGGCTTTTTTTTGCTTCTTCTACTTTGTTTTTAACAATATCTTGTTACTTGGTTGTTATTGGGTTTCCTTATGTCAGTTTCTATTCGATGATGCCACGTTAAAGAAAGGACATGAACGTTTTGAGTATCTATGTCTACGAATGTTAAAATTAAATTTCATTGTAAAATCAAGTAAATTGCATTTTGTAGAAATCGAGCTGAGTTGGCATAACAATGATGGCGACGATTGATAGGCGGCAACAACAATCGGAAAGAAAAAAGTGGATTTATAGAATATTAACTGCGGTGTTTCTATTGCTTGTGTTTTTAAATTTACCGGCTATATGCCAAACACATGGATACGATGAATCACCCAGTTTTAAATATTCGAAAGAAGCCAATGAAGAATATTTGCAAAATCAGCACTCTGTGAAACATGATCACCATAAACATCAATCCAAGCAGGAACATATGCATACATATGGACAACAACAGGATGATCAATATCATCATCAAGAATCATCTTTTCCTACTAATAAACATAATGAGAAGCACAATGATCAATATCATCAAGAATCATCTTTTCCTACTAATGAACATAATAAGATAACGTTAAAAGCTATGGGTTCTACATTGCTCATTTCTATAGCTCCTTTTTTTATATTACTTTTTGTACCATTAGATAATACTAAGGAACGCGAACCATTATTAAAAATACTTTTGAGCTTTGCATCAGGCGGTCTGCTCGGAGATGCTTTCCTTCATCTTATTCCTCATGCATTAGTTCCTCATTCACATGAATCTTCGCATTCTCATTCTCATGACCATTCTCATGATCACAAACATGAGGAATCTGATCACAAACATGATATGTCTGTCGGTTTATGCGTTTTATTAGGAATTATTGTATTTTTAATTGTTGAAAAAGCTGTACGTATGATAAAAGGTAATCATGGACATTCTCATACTCTTAATGTCACTGAAAAAGAATCTGATATGAAAAAAGCTGTTTCTACGACAAAGAAGACTAAAGACAAGTCACTTGTTAATAATAAATCTACATCCGTTGAAAAGGATTCAGAACCCATGAATGATATAAAAATTGCAGGCTACCTCAATTTAGTTGCAGATTTTTTACATAATTTTACTGACGGCCTAGCTATAGGAGCCAGCTATTTAGCAGGAAACACTATTGGCTATGTAACAACATTTACTATTTTATTACATGAAGTACCTCATGAAATAGGTGACTTTGCCATTTTGGTACAAAGTGGTTGTAGTAAGAAAAAGGTATGCATATGTGAAAACTATTCCTTATGTATTGATATTTATGAGAATTTTTATTGCAGGCTATGTTACTGCAGTTAACTACTGCGATAGGTGCTTTGTTAGGGACTTATGTGTCCTTATTAGTAGAAGGAATGGGTAAATTATAAAATCTTCCTCTCAAAGAAAATAATCCATCTTCATGTGATACTTCACTCGTGATATTAATAATATTAAAATTTTAGGAGATCTTGCAACAATGTGGATTCTTCCATTCACAGCTGGAGGATTTATCTATATTGCTACTGTCTCTGTGATACCAGAATTATTAATTGATACTAAATTTTGGCAATCCGTTAAAGAAATTATTGCACTTCTATTTGGAGTATATATGATGGTACTTATAACAGAATATGAATAGAGATATATTTTACATAATGTGGCCTTTTTAATAATACATTTCTTTATTATTATTGTTATTATATATTTTGTAATAATCCATAAATTAACAAAAACGTGACATAAAATTGTGTTATCATGAAATTTATGATTTATTAGCAATACTGCCGATTCTATAAATCTAATTTTATAAAAAAAATTATATATCAAATTGTACATTATACATTCTATTATCCTGACTAACCAATGAGTTTTAGTGAAATTATGATATTTATAAATTATCATATAAATCAAGAAATTTTTATATAGTACCTTAACAATATCTAATAGGTCCAATACTTTAATATAATTGTACTTAATATATATAAGGTTTAATTTTGTGTTAAGCTTATTTTTAGATAAAGTTCAATCTATTTATTACCTTTAGAGATGAAAAAATGATGGAATCCAGTTGTATTCTAAATTTAATATTGTCCTTTTTATAAATTATTACTTTTCTTTAATTCCTTTTCTTTCATCAGTCTTCTATATTCCATTTGTTTCTCCATTTGTTTTCTCTTCCTCTCTTGACGAGTTATTTCTTCTATGGATACTATAATAATTACATCAAATACAAAAAAAAAAGTTTATTATATGTTACACAAGAAAAGTAATATCGTTTATTTCATCTTTATTCTTACATTTTTTATTGTTCATATCCTCTTGATCTGTAAAAATATTTGGTTTTGAAGTTAACTGATTTTTCATACAATTTACATTATTACTTGAAGGTATGTTATTGACATTTGTCTTGGAAACTTCTGGTTCTTGGCACAATACATTACTTGTATTTTCAAGTACTGCCTCTAAATAAATTTAATCAATATAATATATTTTCCTAAAATAGAAGTTTTTCAAAAGGTGAATAAATGATTGATTACCTTCTTTTTCTTTTTCTTTTGTTTCATTTATATCATGGTTTACTGGAGGAGACAACTTGTTTTTAGGAAGAGTAAGAGAATTAGAAAGTTCCTTCATAAGTTCTTCAGCTTCTGTTTTTATTTTACCACCAAAACTACATAAGACTTTAACTAATGCATCATTGTAAGAAGCCTAAAAATATAATACAAGCAGTATAAAGTGTATTATATTTACATATGTACATTTCTACTTACAAGTCTAGCACAATGTATAGCTTCACCTTTCACTGATCCTTTCTTAACACTATATCCCATATCTTCACGAAAAATTCCTGAATGTAATTGTACTTTTACTAATGTACAGCATCCAACAACATAAATATCCCAGGCAGAGTCAACAAAATCTGTAAATAATATAGAATAAATATTTTAATCTTGTTCTTCTATTTAATAAATTTCATTGAAAACAAAAATTATAAATATATTATTCCAATAAATACCTAATGTTTGATTAGTAATAGAATAACTCCACTTTTCTTCTCCAAATATTTGATTTGCCAATGACAATAATGCATTGTTTACACGTATTATTTTTTGTTGTTGTACAACTAATGGTAAACTTTCTTTCGTTTGATATTGCTCTATAGTTTTATGATTTTGTTTTGTATTTGGCTGAAAATAGATAAAAATTTTGAATATATTAATTTCTTCAAAATTAATTTAACACTCTCACTGACATATCAATATTTAATAATAAATATACAATAATTACTTACAATTTTAATACATGATGGATAATCATTTATATTTGTTGACATTTTTTTGTTATGGAATGATATTTCAGATATTTCAAAATACAATGTTTTTTTGCTTAGATGGTAAGGAAGAAAAAGTTGTATTTAGCGCGCCTCGCGGCAGTGAAGAGACTTGACGTTTGTATGATTTATGTCATGAAAGGTTAGGTTAGAACTCCTTAAATTTTTACACTGTTTACGTTTTTATCTATATTTTCTTACAAATTCAATTTATTAACGTGATATTTAATATAAAATTAATATGTTTGGAAATAAGAAACATAATTTACCATCTAGACCTAATTTTCCGAATCCTGAGCATATGTTAGAAGATCTTTCTAACGCATCGGCGGATGACGTTGCATTTAAAGTAGTGAATAAAGGTATTATTAAATAAAAATTAACAAAATTATTAAAATATAAATAATTTTTGAAAGTGTTTTTTTATTAAGTTTAAATAAATATTAAGATAAAAAAAATTTCAGATGAAATCCAAACAGAAAATTTATATATTTTGTCTAATGACGATAATTCCGAGGACATTTACAAAAAAGTAAAAATTTATTTGAACGTTAAAGAACAATTGAAACAATTGGGAACAATTTTAAAAAGAGAACAAGAACAATTACAAACGGATAACGAAGAAATAAGAGCACTTGCAGATAGCATCAGAAAACAAGCACAAGCTGCTCTTATAACGTGATATGTGTCCTCTATTAATAAAATAATTTATAGACTGCAAATATATTTTATTATCTATATCAAATGTAAACTAATTATTTAATTAAAAATTATTTTTATTAGAGCATCAAATTATATAAGCCATAATTTATTGTATACAGAGAAGTAAAATCTTCTACAATATAATATAGTTATAGACATTATAACTATGAATTGTAAAGAAACTTTAATTTATGAATAAAATGCGTAAAATATTGTGTATTTTATAATTCTACATGTGAATGTAAATACATTTCGCTACTAAATATTGTGCGATTATTGTAAATAAGGCACTATTTGTTCTTTTAATATGTATAAAAGACAATGATACGTAGTAATTAATTAAAATTTTTAATATTATTTGTATTCGTTTCGAATAGTCATAAATTATAAAATTTAATTTATATTATTTTTTATCATAGTAAACAATTTTTATAAAGCTATCGATTGTATTAGATAACATTTTATTTTGGAATTTTTGTTTTTCTGTTATTTTATGTATAATAAATATTTATATATCGGTTCGTATATCTTTAGAATTTTTGTAAAATTATTTTCATTGTGTTTTATAGATTTGTATCTCTTGCAATTATTGGTTATTAAATGCGACACTTCAATATGTATCCTTGTGATATTATAAACTGCTAATAGTTCTATCATTTTCCTATATTGAAATATGAAAATTTATTTTAAAGTGCTTTTGATCAATGTCCTCCTTATTGTCTTTCTACTAAATCATTGAATATGTTCATTTTATAAATATTTTCAAATTGTGTTCTTATTAAATATCATGATAATTCTGTTGGGTGCTTATACCTTACTTAGGTATATCAATTGGAATGTATATATAAAAATGGAATAATTAGCATAAAAAGTGATAAAAAAAAATCAGTGAGTTGGTAATACATCAAATCGAACCATAGGATCATTGAGATAAGCACACCATGTGAAACCAGGTGGATATCCTGAAAAAGTCATGCATACTTTGTATTAGTTTGATACACTGTATATAATATCATGTAAGTTATATTAAATGTTCAAATGGATTAAATATTAATAAACTATTATTTGTTACTAATATTAATAGAGTTATCAAAACTATTAAGATTTGTTTTATTTATTTTAAAGCTAAAAAAAAAGTTAAAAACATTCATAAAGTTACTGCATAAACTATTACTTAAGATTATTTAATATAATTGATAATTTTGTATGTAATATATATACAGGTAATTAGCACAAAAAATACATATATAATACTTACGTAATACCATACATTTAATAGTTTTTATAAAGTTTTGATTCAATGACGAGATATAGCAGGAAGTTCCACCACCTTTTGTCCAGCTGCATGCGGTAATTAATTATATGTTAATTACATAATAAGATTGTTTCTTTTCTTTTTAGAAAAATTAATTCAGTAAGCAAAAATAAATATAAATAAACATGTTTAGAGAGCAATAAAATAGCATAGATAAATATTAGTCATTTAAAAGATGTAGGCTGTGTTAAAAATGAAATTTAGCACTTATTTAAACATTCAATATAATAATATATTTTTTTTCTATATAGGAATACAATAGCATAGAAGAAGAAATACACACGCGTATATTTTTCAAGTATAAAACACGCGCACGCAAAATGTTATAAATATATAACGTTTCGAATTAGGAAATGATTTTTTACTCTTACGTAACAAAATATTTATTTTTTGTGCTTTTTCATATATGGCGTAGTTGAAAATACATACCCACATATATATATGTGTGTTTTCAATTTTAAGTACTTGAACCTCAGAGAAATATATATATGTATATTTCTTCATGATTTAAACAAACGATTTGTTCTCAAAGAAAGACATTCATGTTACGTTGTGCCATTATAATTAATAATAAAAATCAATTATCCAACTGTGAGCATCGTATGTATATAAAGATACGATGAATTATGCAATAGAACAAACTATATATATGCTATTTTTTATTTTTAGAGATGTAGAAAAACATAGAAATAAAAGAAATATATAAAAATATGCATCTTTCTTCTATCCATGCCTGATGGTAACATATGTGTAGCTTGACTCGGTTGCAATGCTCATCGTACGTACACACGAAAGTCGCACGCACGCACGCACAGACACAAATAACAATTTTTATAACAATGTGTAAAAATGATTTATATATATCCTATTGTATAAAAATTAAACAATTCTGTTTAAAATTCAATTTTATGAAATTCAATATAGATATTATCTATAATTGTTTTATAGATTTTCTCATATGTATAATTATGATCTTATATTAATCAATAATTTTCACTTTTAGGACGGAAACAATAAACATCAATTTTAATCTTTGTTTATATACTGAAATATACTTAAGTAAACTTTATAATTTTAATCTACTATTCTCATAGTTCATCTCGATATAGATAAAACTTAATGTTCTTAAGCTATTCGGGAATGATTTGGCTATAATTTTCCCTTAAAAAGAACATGAGTTTACTTAATCATTATAGATATTTTATATTACAATATTCTCTTTTATTTTTCGTTAAATAATTCAATTTAACGTAAATAATGTGCTTGTATATTTATGAAATTCTAAATCAATTTAACTTTTTGATTTCAATATTGTAACAAAGAGTAATTAAAAGTATATATTAAAGAAAATTAAAATAAAACAATTTTTTTTAAATTAAAAATAGCGAATGAATACTATTATATATATATATATATAATATATATATATATATATATTTAAAAATAATAAGGTAAAATCAAATTAAAATTCTGCATGAAAATCAGTCTTAGACAAAATGTAAAATATCTTTTTATATAAAATTCTTGTAACTTCTTAAATATTTACCATCATTGAATGATCAATATGTTAATATCGTAATAAACATTAAAATATATGAGTTAACATATACTTATACAATATATTAATATGGCAAATACTATAATGGCTTATAATTTTTGCTAATATATTTATGAAACAACAAATTATATGTAATGAATACATACATACTTGTAGTAAGAGACAAGAGCAAGTACATTATCAATAAGTAAATAAAACATTTTTGTTCAATAAATAACAGGAAACTAATTTAATAACTATAAAAATTAAGACAATTTTCTTTTCATGTAAATAACAAAATTTAAAAAAAATATCAAATCTAAATAATATTTTAGTATATTGATTTTTTATGTGAGTAAATGATATAAAAATATTTTAATTTTTAATATATTTTGCTTTATGTGTTACTAAACACATTACAGCCATTAAGAATTCAAGCATATAATCCTTAATGATTATTGATAATAAATGGCAATTATATATCGTACTATATTATTCTATGATGATAAATTTATCATGTGATATGAGATATCTTATTATTATTAATAAGAAAAATATATAGAGAAAGTAATATAGATTGGATTATAACTGATAGAGAAGTAACACTTTGAAAGATCAATTTAATGCACTTGATAAAATATAGCTTTAAGTATTTTTCTTCAGGTGCATTATGACATTTTTAATATCTATTGCGGTGATTACCTAAAATTAAGATCTGGTATAAAAAAAAACCTTGATAACGTTAACTTGCCTCTAGGTTTGTATTTTAGATGATCCTCAATGAATTGACAAGGACAACGGGCGGAGACGCAGTGACGTGGTGGTACAGAAAGGCCTGTGATGCTTCTATTACGATCCTGTGAGTCTATAACCAAATCAAGTCTGCGACGCACAAAGTGACGTGCCCATCGAGAAGCATACCTCAGCAACAGCAACTCCGCCCGTTCCTGCCAACACATACTATCATCATTCAGTATTCAGATCGGCATTTGATTTATTGACATAATAATCTTCAGTTTATATCCTAAAAAGTACTTTTTTTTCAAACATGGTAGAGTTATACTTCTTTGTATAAAGTGTAAAACAATATAGGGGAAAACAAAAAATGCCATTTAATATAAATTAATTTTCATATTGCAACATGAAAATATAAAATGAAAAATAAGTATTCATTCGCTATTTTATAACTCAAATATTTTAAATCATTTATCTTTTTCCTGAAAAAAAAAAAAAAAAAAAAAAAAAAAGAAAAAAAAAAATGAAAAAATTCTTATTTGATTAATTAATTAATAATTTTTATAGAGTAAAATGTATATCAACAACTTAATTTGTTAATTTGTTAAAAGAGTTAGTATACTTATATACTATATAAGTACTATGTAAAATTATACGGAATTATATATTCGTACCATTTTATTTATTAAGTTCTTATTTTCTTCCAAATTTATAATCTTGGAAGTTATATCATACTAATTATATTAACTTTTACTTGATTTTAACGTTTTCTTAATTAAAAATGTATTACCATTACCAAAATATATATTATATTAGTTATTATTAATTAGTTATGGATTGTTTTAAGGTAACACGAATTGCATTGTTCATTGTTTGTATACAAATAGCATATTATACCTCAAATGTAATCGTATAAGTATAATTACTTTTTATGACAATATTTCTTCATTCTCCATATAGAAATAGTAAAACTGTTATGTTTGTAAAAAATATCAAATCCTAACTGCTATAGTTGTCTACAAGACATAAATCTAGATACTTAAAAATGATTTAAATACCAAAAAAATTATTTAAAAATAAACTACCTGCATAATATCTGTTTTATAATGTGTTATGATACTATTTTACTGCACATGTACAGAGGTTGTAAGAGTTATTATTTTTATATCATCGTCAATACAAATGAAGAGTTAAATAAAAACAAAACGTAGATTTTATAAAAAATCTATGATAAAGTAATGTATAATTCAGAATAATGAATGAAATTCTTACTTGTAATATAAATTAAAAAATGTCTTTGTAATGCAGGTAAACATATATGTATATATGTGTGCACGTATATATATATATATATATATATATATATATACACGTGCGCACGCTCTACTGTGCATTTAACTTTATAACTTTATAAATTCTTATAATAACTATTGTGCATAAGTACATGTGCATAAGTTTATTATCCTCATATGCCCCTATCCCTTAAAAAACTACTCCATCTAGGACAAAAATCTCTGCCCTGTATACGTGGCTTGTTACGCAACCATTCTTCAACATATTGACATGGACACAAAGCAGATGCAATATGACGTGGGGAAGAAGGATTTCCATCTTCATCGACCGTCCAATCCAGACGTCGACGTAAATAATCCTTTGCCCAACGTTGCACGTAACGGCATAATACTTGTTCACTTTTACCCTAGTATTTTATTTTAATTTATAGTACTACACATATAATATTGAAAACTATTAAATCAATATTTGTGTGTGAAAAAATTAACTCATCAAATTTATATTTTAACTCTATCATAGTTTAATAATTATTTTTGAAATTCAAGAGTATTTATAAAATAAAAAAATGTATAATTTACCTGTTTCCGGGAAATTCGAGTTGTTGTACTGCCTTGTATTACAATATCACTATCATCAATATCCATTCGTTGCTGTAACTCTCTTTTACGCTGTGTATCATTTTCATTACTTCTAATTGTTCTTCCTTCACATTCTTCACGTTCTATCACCTCTTGGAGTTTTTTCTAATAAAATTATTTTTGTATTACTGCTAGCAAATATATATATATATAAACATGTCTATAACAGTTATTACTTATAATAATAATGAAAGACACTTACTATGCAGTCTGTAGTATCAAAATATATGAAACAGAGATTAACTTTATGGCAGGATATTTTTCCTCTGTCATCCAATCCAAGTAATATCTTATGTCGTAATAAATGCTTATTAACTTGTGCCATACATTTTTCCAGATTATGATTCAATTTTATTTTAATAAACATGCAAAAAAATATTGCAGCTGCATTCAGGACTAGCCACATGACGCCAAGCCCAAACAATGTAAGGCCAGTTACTCCAGAAAAGAGCAAACCAAGCAATACGACAAATGCAGTAAATATCCAAAGGACAAGTATTCTTTTATAGCATACATTATACATATTGAAACGTACATCGTTTACAAGCAATTCCATTATATGCACATAGTCCTCGACAGTAAGCTGCAGTATATATGTGTACATATATATCAATTTGTTTTTCAATATTTTTTATCGTATAATAGTAGTTTAAAAAAGAAGTTGCTATAATATTTACCGTTAATCCTTGTGCCATTAATTCCTCTGGAACTAATTCTGGTCTAAATTTAGCTGGAGTTATCCAAGGCCATCTGGTATTAACTGGTAAAAGTGTAACAATAGTATCACCATTTGCAAATCCTTGTCTAATGTTTCCAATGGGTGTACTTATAACATTACTAGGATTATTCCTGCCATTAGATACATCTCGCAAATCCACTGTTTTTAAAGAAGCACTTTTTGGATCTGTAGTTTTAATATCGGACGGAACATTAAGATCTGTACTCTCAGAGACAATGGATCGACTTAATCCTGATCTATCTAAATTAATTTGGACGGATTCTGTTGCTATCACAGCACCACTATATTCATTATTTGTTTTATTTATCACTTCTAAATTTTCAACCGTTTTTCCAATCTTATCAACATTTATTGTAACAGATTCTGGCTTTATCACTGCTGGAGTATTTTTTTGCACTTTATTTACATATTTTGATTCATCTTTAGACACTGTTTCGCATGGTTCTACCTCTTCTTCAAATTGGACCCAGTTTTTTGTTTTGGAAGTGATATCAGAAGGACTGGCTTCTGATACATGATCAGTTGTATCTTGGGAACTCATGTTTATAATAAAAGTAATTGGATTTAATTAAAATAATACTTGTGTCATCCAACTTTTTATTTATCTTATTTTTAGAATTATTAGTATATTTCCCAGGTTTTTTACAATATAGGACTCTTCTTCTAATCTGTAAGTAGACAATTAAAGAATGAGATAATACCATAGAAGTTTTGATAAATATTGGACAATAAAAACATAGTTTTCATCTTTCAACGTCAACTTGATAAATCTTAATGCAAATAAGCTAATGATTAATAGGTAAATAAAAAATCGTTAAATAACGTACGTTTTATCAAAAAATTATTTTATACGCAATAATGCGTGACTGGATAATAAACGCTAAAGAATAAAACGAGCCTTAATATATTGTTAAAATATATTCGTCATTATACAAATAAAAAAAAAAAAATGGAGGGAAAAAATTTTTAAATATTAAAAAAAAAAGCAAACAAACGAACATACATGAAGAAAAAAAGCACTAATTTTAAGCTAGTACAAATTGACATATGTTCATAATACGAACATTTAAAAAAAATTAACGACCACAATGATTATTTCTTAATTATAAAACTAATGATATATTAGGCATATATATATACATATTATTGACATTCAAATGATAAAAATAAAATATGAGCCGAAATGAAAGAAAACTGGTACACTTTTCGAGACATTTGTGTGTTTGCCTATATGGAAATTCCTTCTACACTTTTTTTTTCTTTCTTTCTATTTATACAAATCCTTGGTAATACTAATTCTACGATTTTTCTTCGAATAATATTACAATTGTGAATTACAGGATTATTTTTTGAAACGTACCTGCTGCGATACAACCTGTCTCATGACCGCGAGGTGAAAAAGTACGTAATGTACGACATCAAGGTATATGACATGGAGGATGAGGTGAGGCTAGGGAGGGGAATAAATAAAGGACACAATACGTAAGCATACGGCCCGACGCTCCCCACTCCATCCCTTCACAGTCATGTTTCCAATGATATGCATATCTTTCTTTTTCACTCTTTCTCTTTCTCTCTCTCTCTCTCTTTTTTCCTTCTCTGTTTCTCTCTCTCTCTCTCTCTCTCTCACCCGTTTTCCTCTATACAATTATTCTCCCATCAAACTAGACAACGACAATCAATTGTAATGCATACTAAATTACTTCTTTCCGACAGTATTCTTATAATATCTATCCTTTTCCTTTTTTATTATTCTTTTTGTTTAACTTCATGTTCTGATTCTTACATTATTTTTTTTATTTATATACAAATATAACGACAACGAAAGATTTTAAATTATTTCAACGATATTTACATTCTTCAAATTAATCTTCATTCAAAAAAAAAGATTTTGAACAGATTAATCCAATACAGTAATAATGATATTGCAATCGATCTAAGATAAGATTCTTTTCTATTGGTTAATTCATTATTATACAATTTTAAGTCTATTAATAAGAATATGATAACGATATGCATATATATATATATTAATAACGATTTATTATTATTATTATTATTATTATTATTATTATTATTACTTTGATAAAAAAGAAATCTACTTCAATAGATTGTAGATAAAAGATTCTTTTTTTTTGATAAGAACGATGTAAATATTATACGTTCTACTAAATTAAATCGCATAATCTTATTTATCTTGTTTGATTGTGTGATTCATAAAAAAATTTTTGTAGATCGAAATTTAGATCAAATTTGCATATTTTTTTTTTATATAACCTAAAAATTATCTATTCTTATGAATATGAATCGAAATGTAGTATTTGACAATGGTTGATTACTTTTAATCGATTAACATTTATTTTAGAGTAAAATGATAAAAGAGTAAGAAATCTTTTACGCATAATAGACATATAAAATTAATTAAAATAATAAACTAATAAAATATATTAATTTCTAAATATATATATATATATATGTTTGTATACGTGCACTTGTTTATGTTTATATAATCTATTAGCAAAATTTATTTATTGATTTATTAAATTATAAATGAAGCAAGAAAATTCTATTTGTCCAATCTGAAATAAAGTATGTCCAAATAAACCAATACCGTGAGAGTAAATACATTCATACGCGCATGCGCAATACCTGTTGATCCGAATGTATACTATATTATAATAACTGATAAGTACAATAATTATACGTCTTCGATTTCAAGTCAGTCAAATGATTCCTTAATAATTTGCAATATTCTAAATGTTTTATCTTAATTTATTAAATTTCATACAATATAATTACTGTTTACATGTGTAATAAAATATTTTGTAGTAAATTAAAGATACAATTATAGAAGAATAATATAAATAATATTATTGCATAATTCATTAATTATAAAAAGTCATTAAATTTGCTAGTGAGATTGTTTTATTATTACTAATGATTTACGAATGTCGATATCATACTAATATTTATACAAATGGTTATTTAAAAATAATAAAGAAAGCTAGGTGTTATTGATTATGATAAACGAAGATTACTTTTGAAATGTAAACAGATCTTATATAATTGCAATAATGAAAGAGTTTGTGTAAATGTTACAATGGCAATATATTATAGACAAATGATTCTTAATGCGTCGCGACTGGTGGGAAAACATATAAAATTAAATAATAATTTAAGAACTAATATACCAATATTTACTTATAGTTTTCCTATTAAAAATTTCAAATATTTATATGAATCAAGGAATAGAAGTTATAATAACAATAATAAGAATGTTAACATAACTCATTATTATTTTCTTTTAAATAGTCTATTTTTTGGTTTTTTTAAACTTAATGAAGAAGATGAAGAAATTTCAGAACTTATTATAACAATTAAACGCTCAATATTATCAATGCAGGTTAAATATAATAAAATAATGTATTGATACATCATATTATACTTTTAATAATATTTTTATTTTTCGTATAGAGAAACGAATTTAAAAAGGCAGAACAAATGTTACATATTGCTTTGAGACAAGCTCAGGCTTTACAAAATCAGAATGCTATTACTTACATTTATGATTTGATGGCTAATGTTGCATTTGAGACTAAACAATTGAAAAAAGCAGAAACTCTATTTTTGTTGGTTTTGGAAAGATTATTATCCAATGGCGTGACACAAGATGATTTGAAAGTCATACATATTAGTTTAAAGTTAGCAAATATATATGAACAAATAGGAGATATAGAGTAAGCATGTTCTTTTGATTTGACTGACATTTGAAAAATATTCAATTTTGTTACGAAATGAATAAAAAATTTTTACAGAAAAGCTGAGACTGGTTATAAATTCTGTTTGAAAAATCTACAAATTCATGTAGATAATAATCCTGAGGATGAAAATATATTAATATTATTAGCTATGACTTATGATTGGTATGCACAATTGCTTTTTTCTCAAGGAAAATATACAAATGCTCGTGAATACTTTGAACAATCTTATAACTTGTGTATTAAAGTAAATGGTACAGAGCACGAGCAAACAGTGAATCTACTTAATTATTTAGGGACTGTAAGTTGCAAAATGGAAGAATATGATAAAGCAATTGAATATCTAACTACTGCCATACAAATAGGTAAATTATTGAACATATGAGCATGTATAGCTTTACTTATTTTAATTAAAGGAATATAATATTAATTTAATTCTTCTAGGGAAATCATTGCCAGATATGGTTCATTTAGGTTCAGTTCATATTAATTTAGGAGATGTCTATTTAAAAAAAGGTTTATATTCTGAAGCAAAGAAAGCTTGCAATGAAGGTCGAAAAATAGCTAAAAATAGAGAGGATGAGAAATCTCTAGTAGAAGCTAATAAATGTCTTGACGATATAAAGAAATTAATGTGATTATAATTAATATTATTTTAAAAGAAATCAATGTTATATTATAAAAGTTATATAAAATTTGTACAAGGACAACGATGTAAATAATGAAAAATAGAAACAATTATTATGTTTATCCAAGAGAACTTTAATTCTATTAGTGTTAGATTAAATGTTCTATTCTATCTTTGTAACTATAATATTTATTAGACTTACTTTTAATCATTATATAATATAATCTAAAATGTGTGTGAAAGAAAGTAACGTTTGAATATCTTAATTATTCCACAATCAGAAAAATACAACCAAAGTTAAAGTAAAATATTTTTCTACTTTACAATTTTAATTTCTATAATTTGCATATATTTAAATACAATATATCGCAAAGAAATTCTGTTAATTTCTCGTATAATATTTAAAAATATCTATATCTAATTAAATATTTGAGGTACAATTTTTAATCTAACAATTCTACAAATTTGTCAATATTACTTAATCTATCAATGTAGTTGAATAATATATAAAAGTACCTGAATACGCTTCGTACAATTAATTCTTCATTCTGTTTATTGCATGCAACTCGGGAGATACATAATTTATTTGTAAGGATTGCAAATGATAAAATGACGGAATGAAAAATTTCAATAAAAAATGTTAATTATAATACGTTACACAGAGGTCTATTTTTAAATACAATATATTACAGAGAAACACACAATTATAATTTATTGTTATTAATATTATATCTATCATATTATAGTTATCTTAAAAGTATTTCTATTATTATTATTATTATTATTATTATTATTATTATTATTATTATTATTATTATTATTATTATTATTATTATTATTATCAGTATCATATTAATATTATTATTACTATTATTATTAATATTATTTATTATTTATTATTTATTATTATTTATTATTTATTATTATTTATTATTATTATTTTTATTATTATTATTATTATTATTGTTTCTGTAGTTGTTAACATATGCTGACCTTAATGAATTGAATATGTAAGGTAGCACAAAAAATATGTAACGGGAGATTAATGTTGCTGCATTTTTATAAGAACAGCTTCATCAATTATTATATTAATCTCCAGTACCTGTGCAACAGTAACTGTGATATCGGTAATAAATAGTTAACATAGGGATAAATATTACGCTACCGCGGCAGTGTGCTTCCTGGATTTTGGGTAAGGGGCTTTTATCCTCTAATTATCAGGACTATATCAACTAATATTCTACAGATAGACCCCTTTCCACTAACCCAAATTGTTGTATTATCTACTTACTGAAAATCGTATCAATAAGCAGCATGTATATGTAAAATTATTGTTTTAGATAAAAGGTGGTGACATGTTGAATTTATTTTATAACACGACAGCCTACGTTTTGACTTCAGTTTTTTCTTTTTTTTCTCTCTTTTAAACAGGTGTTTCAATGGTAAAGTGATAAATGCTACAACAAAATTGAACGTGTAATACATACGAGCAAAACTATCTAAAATAATGAGTACAAAAATTGCTCAGTAGTAGAAATGTATATCTTGATTTACACTTCAAACAAATACTTTAGCAAGAGCATCAGCTCCTGCACTTGCGATAAATGGTCTTGATGGGTGGAACGCAACATCTAAAATACTTTCATCAAATTTCTTCCGATGCGCAGTTATTTCTTGAACACAAGTCTTATTATCCATGTTCCACAATCTTATACTGCAGTCATGACCTATAAAAAAAAAAAAAAAAAAAAAAAAAAAAAAGAAAAGAAATAATATTTACGTATCCAAAATATTATTGTGTTTTTACATTAGAAAACAATGGAAGTTAGCAACTTACTTCCTGAAAGTAAATAAAGACCATGAGGATCCACAGCAAGACTAGTAACTGCATCTAGATGTGCAACCATAGCATGAGCAAGAGTTGCAGAACGATGATCATAAAATCGAATATGTCGATCTTCGTGTGCTGCTACAACTAGTGGTAAAGTTGGATGAGCCACAACACGATTTACACCTTTTGTTTCATTGGCTTCTAGTCGAGCTATAACAGCATCAGTCTCAGAATCAAACAACACGCAAGCTCCTTCATATGCCACGACTAATTTGTGCGGTTCGTCTCGTATAAAATCAACAGATGTTGGTATCCCATCTATAAATAATTAAAATTATGAATATATTGAAACCATCTAGAAAAATAAAGTGTAGGTAATATATTATTAACATATTTGAATTACGGACCTTGTTCAGAGGTATAAGTGTTAAGAAGTGGTACTTTGCTCTGAGGACTCCAGAGTTTCACTGTTCCATCAGCACTGATAGATAATAACTGTGAACGAGGCTGATACATACTTAAACCCCAGATAGCATCCGTATGCCCAGTTAAAGTTTGGCTAAGGACACTTGGATCGTACGAATCATATGGATCTATATTTGCAGATGGAAGTGTCCAACAATGAATCATACCATCTAAACCACCACTATAGCAACGACTTCCAGTGCTATCCATCGCTAAACAAAGAACAGGACCTGTATGGGATCTGAAGGTATATAATGGCTCTACGTCTAGTGAAGCTGACCTAGAAATAATAGAAAAATTATCATTCTGTAATATTCTTTTAAAAATGTATTTACAATTTATTTACATTATGACTTAGTTAATATATATTTAACATACTTTTTGGCTGGTACAGTTTTATGTAAATTCCACAGCTTTAATGTATGGTCATCACTTGCGGTTATAAGGACAGGATCTGTAGGATGGAAGACGAGTGCTCTAACAGCATCAAAGTGAGAGCGCAATGTATACTTTGCATTCCATGTCTTTCGAAATGTTTCTTTTGTAGTTGTTACCATCTGCATGTAAAAAAGATTATAATAGTAACATAACTAATGAAATTATTCTATTATTACATAATCTAATTGATCACATTAAAATATGTGAACTTACATATGAGTCCTTCCTCTATAACTTTTGATAATTCAAATATCTTACTTATGCAATAAATGTAACAATTTCAAAAGTTCATGTGAAAAAACAAGTAATTTAAATATTACAACTTACATCGTATGATACTTCTGCTTCATTGTTTACACACAACTGTTCTAACTCTCCCAATTCCAAGGTAGAATCGCCTTCTTCAGTGGGACGCCTTGGATCTGTTTGCAAACCTCTAGGTAATGCGTCTGTATATATAGAATAAAATAGCAAAAATAAATTAAGATCTTTTAATTAGCCTTTTTCGTTTATGACAAAAAAAAAATTATAATAAATTTTAATATTACTAACTCCAGCCTGGTGGTGGCGATTCTTCAGTTTGAGTAAGTAAATTTAGTTGATTTAATACTTCTTCTGCTTCAGCATCTACATCTTCTGTTATAACAAATGATGCCTGAAAATGCAAAAAATTGTATACAATACCAATCTATAATCTTTTATAAAAGTAAAATATTTGCTACAAAAAAATACTAAATTAGAAAAAAAAAAATAAATAAATAAATAAAAATAAAAAATAATAATTTGATATTACCTTATTTGACTTAGATTCTATATTTGTGTCATACATTTCATCTTCTACATCTCCTTCACCTTCTTCCATATCCATATCTGTTTGTGGTAAAAACTCAAAACTTGCCATAACAGCTGCTTCTGTATCTAATATCATTGCTTCTGCTATTGAAGAGGGTTGTTGCTGTAATTTCGAAAGGGAAATCAATTATGTTTAATATTAACTGCAAGACATGTAAAAATAAATGTCTGTAAACTTGCCAGAATTTAAAGAAAAGTTTGTGTAGAAGAACGCGTCTAACAAAAACTTTTATTTTAAGAATATACTGTAGTAAATATTAACTTGATGTATAACGATACCTGATGGAATAATAATTTAGGACAACAGTGTGAGTTAACACATATAATGCTATTTACCTCTACCTTTTTTCCTGGAGTTCTTCGCGTATTATTTTTTGCTTTAACAGATGACTCATTTCCATTTAGAGCTGGTGTGTTCATATCATCAGAGTCCGTATTATTATTTAAACCAAGAAGAGATCGTACTCTGTTTGATCTTACATCTATTATCGTGTCAGTATAACCAATTTCTTGTAAATATCTGTAATATAATTGATTTATAATATTTAATCAAAATTGTACTATGCTTATCATATTAGGAATATAACATTTGTTTTGTTTGATATTTATATACTTATCAATGTAGAAAATTGTACTTACTGCCTCAATAATTGACGACCCTGTTTCCAGCTAATGTTGCTAACAGACGTAAATGGTGCTTCTCCATCTCCACCTCCACCGCCACCTCCTTCCGTACTAGTGCAAGTACTACCCTCTTCGTATAGAGGTGGCTTGACATCTCCTTGGATGACCAAGTCAGTTCCATATTTTAATTTGTGATACCTTGCTCTAAATATATAACATTATTTTATATTAGTATTAAAATAAACAAAAATATATTGATTTCATTCATATGGAAAATACTATCGAAACTTATATAAAAAGGTAGATTTAAAAAAATCTTTTATTTAACATAGTTTAATTTGATTAACTTACCGCTCCTGCTTTAATGCATATTCCAACATTTTTATTCTCCTTACTAGGTCATTTTTCAAATTTTCCTGTCCTTTTCTTTCACCTTGTAAAAAAGCTATCCTAGCCTATAAAAAAATATTAATTGAATAAGCATATTATTATTGTTGATAAAATACATAATATCTTTTGTTTCATCTCAAGTAATCAACAATAACACTTGTGTGTTAATTATTCTTATTTATCAAGTAACTTTCTATAATTATTTTTATATTGCTTTGATATAAACTTTTAAAGCTTCAAAAACTCTTACTCCCTTTCCAGCCCCCTATTATTTCTTTTCTATATATCCCTTTCTGTTTTTGTCTCTTTCTCTCTTTCTCTATCTATCTTTCTCTGTTTCTATCTTCCTTTATCTCTGCTCATTAAAATCTTCCTTAATCTTTCTAATATCTCATTAAGCCCAAATTTATGAGTCTCACGTGCGGTACACATGAGAATAAATGGATATTAAAAACACTAACTCTAGAAATATTGACAAATATTATTTCATTCCAAGATTTGTACATCATTACAAAGTTTTTTACTTCCTTAAGTACAAAGAGGTAACAAAAATATTACAGAAAAAACTTGTTTAAAAAATTTCACTTCCCAAGAAAATAGAAAAAAGAATATATCAAAATTATAAAAAAATTCGAAAAGAGTAATACTATAGCGGATCTTTGTGTACTATACTTCTTTATGTCCTGTCATATGACATGTGAAGTGATACTAAATTCGTAATAGTATAGTAAATAGTATCTGAATGACAATTTCTCATTGAAATAAATCAAGAAACGTTTACCTGAAACTCAGCTCTGTCAAGTTCCCACTGTGATCTTTCGAGTTCAAAACGAGCCCATTCGTGTTGAATGAAATGCAGAATACCAGGCATGGAGTATTGTGGTCTCTGATCTTTGGCATCACCATTACTGCCATTGTCATTGCCTTGATGCTTATTATTAGTGAGCGAAACGTTAGCACTACCAGATAATTGACCGTTGTGATTTTGCGACGCAGAACTGGAGTTCTCCTCCATCGTGGAACCACAAAAC